TTTGGGAACCAAAATACTCGTCCACAGTCTCTCTCGTTTCAATATTTTCAAGATGGCGGCGAAAACGAGAGAGACTGTGGACGAGTATTTTGGTTCCCAAAGCACGCTGGGTTCAAGTTTTCGGGACCCATAAGTCCTTTCGGTCATTGTACCGTTACAGTCTCTAAGCGTGGAGACGGAACGGACGAGCGAGAGACTGTGGAAGTGTCTAGTTTGAGCATGCGTCGTAACAATGACAAAGCTCCGGGATCCAAAGTAACATGGCTTCTGGGAAATTTTGCATCTAACGCGAAAATTGGTTGAGTTTTTTAAAGAAAAAATCAGTTAAATTCAAGAAGGGTTGGGTGAAAAAAATGACAATAAAGTCAAGTTTGTTAACGTCTTGTAATACCTGAATATTCCTTCTGATTGCGAGCCGTTCTTTTGAAGGACGAGCTCTGCCAATGTTGTTAGAATCCAAGGCAGTTTTAGCTCCGGGAATCTTGACTTTTGTTCTTCCATAATTTCGTCCAAGCGAGAACCAAACATTGATGGATAGAAAATATAATGCTAAAAAATAAAACAGCACATGAAAATGATTATTAATTTAAACAATTTTGCGATTGTTAAGCTCATTCTAATAATTCTACGTCTTCTCAGTCTTTGATTGGCTGAAAGCAGAACTTTTTAAGGTCAAGCAATGTGATTGGATAAAGTGAGTTTTCTCAGTCTTTTGATTGGCTGAAAAAAGAAGCCAGTTTAAATTAATCATTGTGATTGGATGGCTTGCACTTTATCGCTTTTTTAATTGGCTTAGAGCGGAAGCTATCTTAATGACATTCACTGTGATTTGTTGCCGTGAATTTTCCCGCTTTTTTATTAATTGGCTCTGAACTAAAGTTATTTCTGACGCATAGATCTGCTCTAGTGCAAGAAAGCACAACGTATTAACGTTCTTCGTGGTCATCTCTTACCCTCGCCTGTCGAATTTCTTCCGAAGTTGGTTTCCGAAGACCTCTTTTTGGTCCCGTTCGAGAGATTTTTTCAAGCTGCTTACGACAATGTGAAATAATGTCCTGAAATGAAAGCAAACACGTTGCAATGTTATAGTAAAATATTTGTATCCACTACGTTTAAAAGTTGTATTTTCTTGCCAAGCTTTCAAGCCATTTTGGCCATCTTCAGGGCTACATTGCAATTACGTTGCATCATGATGTTGTAAAATAACTTCTTTTAATCATACAATACAATTTTTATTCCTTTTAAGTACAAAGAAAGAAAAAGAAAAAAAGAAAAAAAAGAAAAGAAAAAAAAAGAGAAAAGAACGTGTTGGGAAGCCTGTGGCTAAACAAATGGGATAGCCTAGAATGCTTTCCTTATATAAGCGTTTAATTTCCTCTTAAGATAAGCTTGTTAAGGACACTGTCTGCTATTGTCAGCGCGCACATTTACTGCGCATCTACATCGAGGGATTCCCGCGGGATTGATTACAAACAGGTGCACGAAAAAGATTATTCTTTTGCATTGGATTCCCTTAAGGGTAACTTACCTTATTTTCACATTCCGCGTTTTCTAGGTTCCGAGCTATGTACCCGCTCAAATACGAGTGGAATTTTGTTGAAGGTGGGAACAAAGCCAAACAAATAGCCATTAGTTCCCATCCTTGTCTTAAACTTTCACTGAAAGAAACACAAAAATACTGATTAAGTAACAAGAAAACAATGTTAAACGTCTGGCGTGTGCGGCGCGCGTTTCATTCCAAGCTCACCGTTCGTCTCGCTTCGATGCAAAGCCACGACTACCTTTCAAGATGGCGCAGGGAACTGTGAAGCCCCGTTTACACTGGCGATTTTTGCGGCGATTTTTGCTGCGATTTTTG